CAAGCATGCAACAATATGCAAGGATCATGCAAGATGGACTTAAACTGAAATGGGCAGACCTCAGCCATGCCCAAATCAGTGGCCAAAACACTAAAACTAAGGCACCAACATGCAAAACAAACATGTACACATATTGGTCCATCACTTAGGCACAAAGAGGACAACTCTCGAAAGCACTCAAAGAGTGAAAAGCATGCAAGCGTGACAACACTACGTGCTCTGAAATGATGTCAAGGATGATGCCAAATCATGCATACAAGTCAAGCATAACATGCAAGAAAGCTCAAGGCTTAAGGCTAACCAAGGAGCTTGTACTAAGGCCATATGAAACAAGCTCCAAAGAGCTGAGGACAACCAAAACAGTCCTAGATCATGCTAAAGGGAGTCTAAAACATGCAAGGGCCAAAGCTAAAACAAGCCAAAATGAAGGGCTGAAGGCAAGATGCAAGTAAGGCCAACAAAGGGGATTACACTACACCCATTATAACCAAACATGGCATGACTTAACCAATGAAAAACAGAGACATGACATGTCAAAATAGGCCTAAAAACCCACTTAGATAGCATCCCGAAGACCTAATCATGGAGGCATGCACAATGACCCAACCTTAAGGCATAAGACACCAACTCTTCAAAGCTTTGAAAGGATGACAAATGCAAGTATAAGGCTGCACTACATGGACTGAAATCACATATGAGATGATACCAAATCATGAAAAAGGTCCAAGTAGTGCATGTTAATGACTTGGACCCTCAAGGCTAACAAGCTAGAATGTATGGTAGCTATACAAAGCATTGCATATATGATCAAAACAACACCAAACAGAGCTTAAACATGGCAAAACATGGCTAAAAGTTCCTTTGAGTTGAGCCAAAATATGCAAGCATGATGGTCCAAATGCATGGTGCATGTTAAGGCAAATGAGAGAATTGCAAGACAAGTGTATGATGCATGCAAGAGGCTATCAAACCAAATTAAAACAGAGGTATATCATGGCCAAATAACACCAAATACTTGCTGAAATGAAGCCAAAACATACTAAGCAAACATGCCACCATTATGAGCCAAATATACAAGCAAATGAGACACAAGGAGAGAGGGGTGTCCCTCTCCTATTTAAGACCTCAAAAATACCTTTCCACCACTGAAAATCCTCTGGATTTCAGTGGTAGAAAGGTCATGCAAAGACAAGAACAAAAGCCAAAAGATGTGGCTCAAAACAAGGCCAAATAAGGCCTAAGAGGGGGTAGACAACCCCTAACCAAAAAGTGACCTTAAACAATTATCTTAAGCACACAAAAACAGAACTTTTTGTAGTTTATAGTTAAGCTTAAAACAACATGCAAGTATGGTCAAAAGCTTAAGCAAGAATGGGATATTAAAAGGTAGAAACTCACCCTTGAAGAACACCTTCAAGAACACTACTCCAGCACCCTTCTCTGAGCTTAAACCACTCCAAGAACACCAAGACCAACTCCCTAGTACCTCAGCAACCAAATGATGGTGTTCTACTAGGTGCTCTAGTGCAAAAGTATGAACAAAATGCACTTTCAAGCACAAACACACACACAAATATAGAGAGAGAGGGATATATGAACTTTATATCTATTTTTTCTGAACCTGGAAAAGGAGGGGAGGCTCCCCTCTTATAGGAAATCAAATTCAAAGCTTTTTAGAGAAGCTAAGCTTTGGTTCAAATCCCTCCATACACGTGTATGGAGGGGAGGGTCTGTGCTCACCAACTGGCACAGCTGGCATGTACAATGCCTGAAAAAGGCAAAGAAAAGGCATCGGCCAGAAAATATGGTCGATCGACCAAAATAAGTGCCGACTGACCAACAAAAGTGCCGATCGGCCAACACTTTTGGCTGATGGCAAGAAAACAAGGCCGATGGCTTCAAGCCTTGGCCGTCAAATCCCTCCATACACGTGTATGGAGGGGAGGGTCTGTGCTCACCAACTGGCACAGCTGGCATGTACAATGCCTGAAAAAGGCAAAGAAAAGGCCTCGGCCAGAAAATATGGTCGATCGACCAAAATAAGTGCCGACCGACCAACAAAAGTGCCGATCGGCCAACACTTTTGGCTGATGGCAAGAAAACAAGACCGATGGCTTCAAGCCTTGGCCGGTGGCTTGAAGGGATGGCAAACAAGCCACCCTTTTCCCTCAGAAGCAAAATCACAAGTCCTTGGTCCACAACCAAGCACAAAACAGACAAGTTTAGAGATCCTAAGGCAAGGCACGCAGCCAAGACCTTCGAGAACTCAAAACGAACACGAACATGGATGATCATTGAGTGTTCAAACGATGACGTCCGAGTCTTGAGGACGGTCAAAAATGGAGTGTCTACACATCCTATATGACTTATATTTCTTGTATTATTTAGAAGGATTATCTACTTGTACATTTAAACAAAAAATCATGTGTGGGATCATTTCCCCAATTATCATGAATTAACATTTGAATTCTTTTGTTGTGATTTGTCGTGATTTCTTCATCCCTTCTTACGAGCTTATGTTTTCTTTAACTCTTTGTTTTATGTTGTCATGCTTTCCCTTTGGTATTATTATTATTTTTTAAAATAATTTTTTCAATTAAAACTTTTTTTTTGGGGCTTTCATGGGTGGGTGTTTTCAAATACTTTGAAAGAACCTTTTCCATATCTTTAATTGACATTTTGTTCAGGTTTATCAAACCCGTTTTCGTCATGTGTTTCGTGTGTAGTTGCTTTCATACTTTGATTTTTTTTTAATTTCACATTCTATGAAATAGCATGCACATACTGTAAGAACTCTTCCCACAACCTCACTGTGTGCGCCATAATTTCTCATTTCATCTTCATGCATTGAACCATCCATGTAAGACATTATAACCAATAGGCCTTTGATACAGAAAAACTCTACTAAACTAATTCTTCATACTATAAGAACCTAATTTTACAAGCCCTAATTTTTCATACTTTAACAACCTAAGAACTTCCAATAGGGAAATCCTAAATTGTTCACAAGTTCAAACTCTAAACTACCATGCCCACAATTGTTCAGTCTGAAACAATAGTATAAAATATTGAAATTCCAACTTTCCATGAAGAATAAAAAGTATCTTGCCTTCTGAAAACATAAACACATTACGCTTTTGGGTCAATTGCTAATCTAATAGATTCATGTAGCTACAGCTAATCAATTCACGCATGGAGTTACAACACTTCAGTTTAGAAGAAGCTCCGAGGATTGTTGAATAAACATTTGTTTTCTTAACTCCGTTTGATTTGGCTAATTACATTGATAAAGAGGTTATCTTTGCAACTTGGTAAAGTAAATGCCAGTCAAACAGATGCCAGGTCAAGTGCAAATTAATGACACATAGACCCTTTGAACTTCTTTTGACTAAAAATCACCATAAGAATTAAGACCAACCAAAAAAGATTTTTTGAGGCTTTATTTTGATAACAAATCAGCTACCAATTGTGCTCGTAGTCTACAAAACATAGAGGAGCAATGCACCGATTGTTTATTTTTCCATGCCTACTGTTACAAGAATTTCACAATTTCTTGTAATATATTTTTCTTAAAATGGCAAACCCCTTTATCCAACTAAGCATTCATAACACTCAACATGTTCAAGTAATTAACTATTGAGAATTTTTTAACATCAGTAAATATTTTTTTTTTTCCAAATATTTTCATACACTTTCAAATCTTTTTGTTATTTCTCATGTTTTCAAAACTTTTGAAAAAGTTTTCAATTCTATTTTCATTTCCAACCTAACCGAAAGAACGTACTGAAACGAAATTTTGATCCTATTAGAGAACACGTGAAAATTATCACATTTCTCTCTCACATTTGATTTCTTTAACATCAAATTATAACCCAAGTTTGACATCACATATGCACACCCACACAGTGAAATCGAACAAAGTACTACCCAAAAGTAACAAACAACAACAATTAATGGGAAAAAAAAAAACCTGATCATAACAATTATATCTTACAAATAACAAAAAACCCGATAAAAAAAAACCTCATCATAACAATTATATAATAAACAAAAAAGGAGTGAACTGAGATACAAAAAATCGAAATTTAAAATCCTAAATGTGGGTTTTTGCGATACAAACCTAATTTCGAAATTTAAAATCTAAAATCTGAATCCCTAATTTCGAAATTTAAAATCCCAAATCTGAAATGAAAATCCTCATTTATGCGATACAAACCTGAATGTGGGTGTTTGATGAAGGTGCTCCTCGTTTTGCCGGTGGTGTACTGTTGGCCGTTGTTCGTTGCTTCCTCTTCGTTGTCGGTCTTCCTTTTGGAGTTCGGCTGAGTGAGGGAGAAGAAGATGGGTTGGATATCAAAAATGGCTTTCGTAAGTTCAAAGGGAGAAAGGGATGGGTTTTGTTTATAATGAAACGGCTTTCCGAAAACCGTTTTGCATTTATGATAAAATTATTATTTTAGGCAAACAATATTTATAAGTTGAAAAAAAAAAATTAATAAAAAATAAAAATAGTTTTACAAAAACCATTTTATATAAACTTAAAATTAATTAGATGTTAAATAAAAACAACTTTAGAAAAATCATTTTTATGAAAGAAAATTTTATTATTTTTTTATTTCTCAAAAACGGCTTTACCAATACCGTTTTAAGGAAAACGATTTTGGTAAACCCGTTTCACCCTGTATTGGGAATAAAGTAGAAAACACATCCCATAGTGCGACTAAAAAATTCAAAATGCCGCAATCAGGGAAATTGGCCTATGACCCTGTTTGGTAGGACTTATTTTCAACTTATTTCAGTTTTTAGTTTAATTTAAGTTAATTTGATGTGTTTGGTTCAGTTTAATAATGCAACTTATAACTTTTTGCAAGTCAAAAATTAACTTATTCTTTGAGTAAGAAAAAAAAATTTTAATTTATAAGTCAAAAATTAACTTATATTTACAATTATAAATTGTTAAATTATAAATTATAATCACTTTAGACAGCTCTACTAAATAGAGCCTATAGAAGGGTTACAGGGAGACAGAGAGATTGAGAGAGAGAGAGAGGGGGAGAGACCGCTGGTGCTCAACTGACTCGACTCGAGTTCAACTCGGTCTTGCCTCTGGTCTGGGAAAATGGAGAGCTCACAAAACCCCAGTTTAAAACACCCAGTTCCCGCCGACGAATCCCAGCTCGACCTTTACACCATCCCTACCCACTCCAGTAAGTCTCTCTCTCTCTCTCTCTCTCAATTTCTCTCTAACCCTAACCCTAACCCTAATTCTCTCTCTCTCTCTCTCTACAGGCTGGTTCTCCTGGGACGACGTTCACGAAACCGAGAAACTCCATCTACGAGATTTCTTCGATGGAAGTTCAATCACCAGAACACCCAAAATCTACAAAGAGTACAGAGATTTCATTATCTCCAAGTACAGAGAAGATCCTTCCAGACGGCTTACCTTCTCGGAGGTGCGTAAATCGCTTGTCGGCGACATCGGTTTGCTTCACAAGGTGTTCTTGTTTCTGGAGAAGTGGGGCTTGATTAATTTTGGTGCACCTGCGAGTGAGGAGGATTTGGGAGAAGAGGAGAGTCAGGGGAGGTGGAGGGTTAGGGTTGAGGAGGGGGCTCCTAATGGAGTCCGTGTCGTGGCGGTTCCGAATTCGTTGAAGCCTGTTACGGTGCCGCCGAGTGGGAGTGATAATGGTGGTGAAGTGGTGGAGAATGGATTCAAATTGGCTCCCCTGGCGTCTTATAGAGATGTGTACAGCGAGCAGAAGGAGACGCTATGTATGAATTGCAAAGATCGTTGCGAGTCAGGACATTATGAATGCAAAAAGGTATCATGCTTTTCCCATTTTGTTGAGTTCGCTTCAATGATTTTTTCGAATGCTTATTGTGATATACGTTAGGGGTGTTTGTTTCAACTTTTTAAAACTAACTTATGGTTTTTAGCTTTGAAAAAGTTATTTTAGATTGTTTGGTTAAACTTATTTCAAAAAGCTTCTGATTCTAACAGCTTATTTTAACTCAAAAAAGCTGATTCTGAGAAGCTGCTCATCCCTTGCTTCTGATTATCAGCAGATTATCAGCTTCTGCTGTGGACA